TACCACATAATAAAGCGCTTAACTTTAAGCGTGCGAAAATGATTTTGCAAGAATTGAAGAATTGAAAAATATCATATTTCCTTCTGTCAGTCTCGAAATTAATTTGAAGAATGAAATTGCCGCCGATGAAATTTGTTGAATAAACTTTGAGAAAAGAATTACGTTATTGATTGGTTATATTCGACATACAGATATCATTTAATTGCGCTGAAATATTTTAATTGTATGTTGATGTATTAAAGTCTGACATAAGAGATAACGAAATAGTTCAAAGGATGAAATCATTTATAAAATCATGTGCAATTATTACATACTCATTATTTGCATGACTAGGGTAATAACTTATACCAATCAGTCTTCATACGAAATGTATTAATTCCTCACGCGCTGCATATATTACATCAACATGCATTATGTACTATTTAATTGTAGCTCCGTTTCCGTGTCCTTGCAGGGTTGGGATTTTACTGTCTACGTGTCCTTGCTTTTTTGTTTGATTTTACGGCGCACTAACTAAGTTTGGGTCATATGGCGCCGAAACTGGAAAGATGATTTTTGCTTATCTCGGATGTGCCAAATTGAAAGCAACACCCCTGGTCAAAACCACCTCGCCTGCTAGAGCTAAGAGACGCATAGACTTCAATAATTCGAACCCATTAAGTCGCCTTTTTACGATCACGCATGATTAAATGGAGGCTGCAATTATGATGCCTCAACCAGTAAAGGCAGTTCCTCAACCACAAGGGTTGCAGAACATACCTGAGTTTACCCCTAATGTAAGGATGTAAAAGAGTTCTCGCTCATCATGGGATAGTGTCGACTATAGAAGATTGGAGTTTCAAATGACTATAAGGCGTAGTAAATATTACGAAAAATGACAGCTAATTTTGAAAAAAAAAATGGACTTTCTCAACAGATATTGACGAGGTTCCAGGCTATCAGTGTAGTGCTTGATCAGGCAGTTTGAAATATTAAAAAAATGTAACTTTAATGTAGTCTGACCAGATTGAATTTTGTCTTGGAAATTGTGAATTTTTAGCTAGGTATCCGTACAAAATCGGTGGTTATTCACTTTTGCAGTTATTCACTTTTGCAGACAATAAAATGCTATATATATAGTGGATACCTCCTCCACTACTTATATAGATATGCGTGAAAAAAACGTTAAAATTGATAAAGGAAATATTCCCAGTTTTTAGGAATTTTCAGGGAAAAAAAGGTAATTTTCAACTGTTATTTCATTCGGGAAAATTTCTTTATTTGTCTTCTACTTATTGATATATAGTACTGTAGTTAAAGAGTTTATATACAAACAATTGTATTTGTTGTGGGCGTTCGTGATCTTTTATTCAAGCAGGTCCGTATTGTAGAGGAAATATTCCGGAGTTTCCTGGTTGTAGGCGGACCACTCAATAGTTGAACTGCTGCTACAAATTTCTTGTTTTCCGGTAGATGTTTAAGTAGCTGTCTGATATAGATCAAACGATATGGCCAAAGTATCATAATCTATTCGCGGTTAAATATCATATAATGACGGAAATTAGACTGATGGTACACTGTGTAGAAGGAAATCACTACTTTCTGCAAAGTGTCCATTTGTAAGGCTATTAGTGTCAAATAGTTTACTTCCTTACGTTTGAGAGGGAGACACACTGCCAACCGCAAATAACCTTGATAAAAAAACCTGAAATGTTATTCACTGTATATGTTATCATATCAAATATAGATACCAATTTATTTATAGTAACTATATAGTAAATATTTTGTTTTTTGCGCTAACGTTGGCCAAAACTAAAACAGAAAATAGTAATCTTATTGTCGTGACTGATTAATTTAACAAACAAAAATTGTGCAGGGCACTGTATGCAACAATAATTATAATCTGGGACCAAAATACGTAATCCCCATCTACATGTAATTTGCTCAATATTGAGCGCTTAAATTATCAGTTAAATATGCATTTTTGCATGTTTTTTGCAAGATTTATGCATGATCTTTTTAAGATGACCCCTTAATCTTCTGAATTTGTATGATGGATTTGCCCAGCATTGAATAAAAACTGTAAGGGATATTATTATCAAAATACAAATCAGACTACATAAGTGTACAGAATGGCATCGTTCTATACTGGAAGTTTAAGCTTCCGGTTTCAGTAGGATAAGAAACTTAAGTCGAAAGTCAACGACACTAAGCACTCGCCCACGGAGACATTTTTTCCTCTTTGCAAATTAATATAAAGTTAAGACAACAACAAAATAAGACACTATGAGAAAGTCGTCGTCCTATTCCTTTTATTTGCTCTTCAGTTACGTGACAACAAACACAAATTATTTTCCCTTAAATCATCACTGTCAGCATTTTCTTCTATTTTAGGGCTTATTTGAAAATACACGATGCCATCTACAATTAAGTCAAAGTACATAACTAGTTCCAGTATTTCGATGATATTAGAATCTGACTCAAGTATATACCGGCCATACTTTCGATATTGTTGGGTTTTTTGTTCAATTATCAGATATAATTTTGATAAAGTCAGTATCTGGTTTAAGTATCAGCCATTACTTCGATATTGTTAGTTTTTGTTTCAAGTACCAGCCATTATTTCGATATTGTTAGTTTTTGTTTCAAGTACCAGCCATTATTTCGATATTGTTGGTTTCTGATTCAAGTAGCAATCACTATTTCGATATTGTGGGTTTCGGGTTCGAGTATCAGCCATTATTTCGATATTGTGGGTTTCTGGTTCAAGTACCAGCCATTATTTCGATATTGTGGGTTTCTGGTTCAAGTACCAGCCATTATTTCTATAATGTCAGTATCTGGTTCAAGTATCAGCCATAATTTCGATATTGTTGGTTTCTGGTTCGATTATCGTACTATAGGTTCATATATACATTAGCCATACTTTCGATATTGTTGGTTTCTGGCTCAAGTATCTGTCATAATTCAGATATTGTTGGTTATTTGCTTTGAGAATCAGTCATAATTTATAAGCATAAGCCACATTTTGACAGTCAAATATATATATTAGCCATGCTTTCGATATTGTCGTTATCTAGTTCAAGTATCAGCCGTTATTTCGATGTTGTTAGTTTCTGACTAAAGTTTTTGCTATAGTTCCGGTTATGTCTGTATCTGGTTATTTAAATACTTTCGATATTGTTGGTGTCTGGTTTCAGCATTAGCAATTGTTTCCATGCCATTTTATATAGTTAAAGTATCAGCCATAATTTTGATAGTGTTGGTTTCTGGTCAATGGTAGCTTGTCCGAATGGTTGACATGTCTGACTAGAAATCTACGGATTGCTGGCCGAGTGGGTTCAAATCCCGTCAGGGACTAGCCGTTTTATCAGTAAGCAAGAAACTATAATATCATTGCTAAATACTGATTGGTTCCAGAAACGGAATCGAGAGAGTATAACCTAAAAAAACTAAGTATCGGTCATAATTTCGCCATTGTTTGTTTCTAGGTGTTTCAGTGAGCAAGAACTTACACTCATTGCTCAATACTGGTTGGTTCCAGGAACGGATTCGAGAGTGTATGAATAAAAAGAACATGCCATTATTTCGATATTGTTTTAATTTGATATCAGCACTTCTGTCTCTTATTAAAGTACCAGGTTTAATCTTATGTCGATATCTGGTTAAAGATTCAGCCATTATTTCGATTATATCGGTAAGATGCTATTTCGATAATAACAGTAGATGTATCTGGTTCAAACCATGCCATTTTTGATGATGATAAAATGGTGCTCAAATATTTGCCTTTATTTAGTTTATGTTTGTATCTGGTTAAAGAATGGCTTTTTTATTTTGTTGGTTAAGCAAATCGAAAGCTGGTTCTATTAACTATAAAGTTATGTTGGTATCTGGTTAAAATGTACTTTTTTACTTAGCTTATGTCTATAAGTATCTTCGCCTTTATTTGGATTATATTTGTATCTGGGTACCTTTGTTCGTGTGTTCCTACTTGTACCTCTATATGTTCTAGATAGCTTTTAAAATATAAATATATAATGTAACATTAAATGAACATGGAATAGAACGTATTTCAATCAAAAATACATTGATTCTTGGAATTAAATGGAAGTTAATATGTAATTATTATCCCTACCCAAAGCCACCACCCCTATCCCCCACCCCTACCCCCTCCAGATAAAAAACTATCACTACTTTGCGTATGTTTTAAATGCATGTTCTCCGTCACAAAACTTACGATTTTTTATTGGAAAAAATAAAGATCTTGCACACTTAATATATATTGACATTAATATTGTCTCCACACTGAATGCACAACTTTTTAATTAATACCCTTATCAATAGTAAAATTTCAGTACCATTTTAGGTACTTTTTTTAACAAAAGGTTATTTTAAGAAAACAATTTTGGATGTCTCTTTGACAAAACTTATCTTTAATGTTTTATTTCATCATCGTCTTTTTCTAACATTTTATTCTATAAAAAAATGTATAAAAAATGAGAAAATCGCATGCATAGTTACAATATGTCACACCATATAAATATTCCCCCAAAAAATGATAAATTAACGAGGACTCTGTGAGAGGGACGAGGTGACTTTTTTCCTGGTATGATTCAACCGTCCAGTGACATTGCATTATAAGTATTACTAAAGAAAGCGAATTCATGATGATTTTTCACGAAAAGAAAATGTGAAATATAATCCTATTCTTAACATTTATAAAAATATTTTAACATTGTCACCCCGTTTAACTACTGTTTAATTTAATAATACATCTAAAAAATCGCATTGTTACTGTATGTCAAATCGCACTTAAAAAGGCGGGGCGAATTGTCCCAAAAACTCCTATACTACGTCTAAAAATATTATATAAAAGTATATATTTTATTGCCTTTTGTACTTATGGAGGCGGAGCTAGAGTACACCACGTGACGCTGGTGTATTGGAGTTGTCACTTATACGCAGTTGAGATTGTCAATCAGAATACATTGTATGTGGGCAGATACGTTTATACACCGGCAATATAAATTGATTTTCTGTCGTTTATATATTCAATTACTCATTAACAAGCCACAGAGCTATGACTGTAAGACTTATTAACTTGTATTTGTTTTGTACATTCCGTACGTAGCTAATCAGAGATAGGAATTTAAGAGGAATTCATTACTTGTGATAGGAGATAAGAAAGATTATAATTTGGTTTGCATTTTGGAATTGTTTTAACGACTAAGACACATCGAAAATGCTTCTAAGTTCAGTGAATTTTGTTGCTAAAACGAAGGCAGTGAAATACAAGGATAAACCAGAAAAGAAAAATGAGAAGAAAATCGAGGAAGAGAAAGAACTAACAGCTAAAACCTGCAAGAAATGTCAGGAAGAGGTAGGTCTTTTATATATATTTATGTTCTTGGTTAATGCTTAAAAAGGTTGCAAAGACTTTCGTCGATACAAGAAAATTTCCATTGCGATGTCATCCTCTGTTTAGAAAAGTGCAATTATATTTCATGTCAGATTCAAACAACTTCCCCACAACCTTGTAGACCAGAAAAGAATATGTGATTTCATGTCAAATTCAAATAACTTCCCCACAACCATGTATAACAAAAAATGTGCTGAATTTGAAGGATGCTAAATGCTTCCTGCAAAACAAATATAGAAAAAGAATTTAAAAATTTAATATATGTCCCCCTCAAATGAATTAGATAGTACAATTTATTCACTTTAAACAAATCTTATCCATAATCATTAAACAAAACTACCATTGGTTCTTAGGGAAATAGAAGTTGGAAAAATGAATGAAGTAATAGAATCATCTGTTGAATCATTTTTTTCTTTAACTAAAGATGTTTTCAATCACATTTAAAATATTTAGGACCAATTATATCATCATTATTGTATATTGTATATAATGTACACAATAAGCATATTTTCAAATTATTGCCTTGCATTGCATGGAAGTGGCATAAGCACGTTTGTTTGCACACCAGATAACATTTTGTCATTAAAATGAATATGGCTAGGTACGAGCGACTTGTTAAAATACATTTTTAAAAGAATAAATTCTATTAAATTGCACCTAATACTTTACTTTCACTTAAAGCGAAATTAAAACAAACGTGTTTACCTCACAGGGCAGTGTACTAATTTCATAATATCGAAAATAGCAACTAGAAATGGGACCACTTTTCAGAGCACATTGTTTTAAGACCCCCTACAGTTGCCAACACGTGTTAATAAGTAAAAATAAGAAAACATATCCTATTTCAGGAAGGGGGGTTTACTATGAAATTGAATATATACAAAGATAGTATTACATACATACCTGTTTAAACCCAACACCTTGGCATATCAAGTTCTGTCAGCTTTGTTAACTAATGTAGCGGAAAAGCGATTTGTGGTTTATCTAATTAGTCGGGTCTCGTGCGACAATACATTAATGAGCCATCCATAGCAGGTGGAATGTGCCGCGTTCCCTCATGCTGCGGGAAATGCTAGCACGTACACTAAACCCCCCTCTAAGACGAAAATACCGTATGGTAAAGAAAAATAGAATGTGACAACATTTCGACCCCATACTGCTTTGTTTTAACTGATATAAGGTTACGATAATATCTTAACGAATATCAAATTGCAAAACAGAAAGCCCTACGCTAGGTGACGGTCACCTACAACGGTGCATTTATCGAATAATTAACATAGTGTAACACCTGTAATGATATCTTTTGAAATCCGACATTGATATAATTTAATAAATTTATAGATGATTTGTTAACATTGTCCTTATGAACGCTGCTGAATTTTTAATTGACGTGCTTTGAATAGTAAAGCATGCGTCTGTGGGGAATTTACTCTGATACAATCACTTTTTTTAAAATCATAATTGTTCAACATTTATCGTAATAAACTGATATATTACTGACAACGCATGGAACTTCTGTAGATTTTATATAAAGTCCAAGATAGCATCTGACTTATAAGAATAAATTGTTAAATGTATTCAAATTCGTTATTAATGCAATGTGATGTATGGCAATTGATTGCATAATGCAATTAATCATTAATGGCAATTTGTTATCAATGACAATCTAAAATGAAATAAGAAATATATATATTCGATTCGTTATGTCAACGATTTTGATTTTATGCTTCGATTTAAATTTTACTATGACAAACATGGGTTTTCTTTATACATTTACAGATTGAGGAGGAAGGCAAAATATTCCGTTTCCCAACTACGTCATCATACAATTCAGGGATCAGCTTTAGTTCCTCAGGTAAGCGAAGAAATTATGTTTCTAACAGAGATTAATTCATGCTGTAATGCCCATCCTGTTTTGTAACAACATCAGCATCTAACAGAGGCTGTATGATATAAAGTGTATATGTAGGCCGTCGCAGAAATAACAACATTAAATGAAATGTCATGCTGGTATCCAGCCAGACAGCAAATGGGTTTTAAAAGGTGTAAATATTTTATATAATTGTGCGAATTTAATAGGCATGATAAACCACTCCTACTTGCTGAAACATAATAATACTACAGTACATAATGACCTTTGTTTTTTTCTCAAGGTCATTCAAATCTGTATAAATAGGAAATAAAAATGTTGTCTTTTTTCTGGTTTTTTCTTGTTTGTGTTCTTTTATAATAAAAAAACATCGTTTTCTATGAATAGCCCATTGTCGTCATAGAGCGAATCTCAATTTTCCAGAAATAAAAGCTCACCATTTACGTCGGCGTGGCGCGTGTGTATTTACAATCTAATACCGAATTTAATTGAATTGAAGTCTCTAAAGTGATGACAAAATGAATTTCAGGAAACCTGTTTACATCAAATTCTGCTATATTTTTTTTAGAAATTACCCTCCTACTAGGGAATATATAATAACTGTATTACCGTGGTAACGAAAATGTAACATTCAATGTTTTTCTGTAATATAATATCATTATATACGCGTGCGAAAACTATAATTCTTAAGAATTAAGGATAATCATTTTCAAGGAGCAACATGCCATATTGTCTGTGTTTACATTTATCCTTATTAATTCGCTTCTTTAAGAGCAACATTACAAAGGTTGATACTGACGTATTTATAGTAAACAGATATTAAATTTATCTCTGCAGGTTACAACAGCGAAGAAAACCTTGACTTTAGCCAGTTTCCTGGAGATCGTGTCAACATAGCAACGGGGGACGACCTCTGTTTGACCGTGGAACAATTCTTTTACACCATTGGCCTACGTGACAAAGCAAAGTCGGACAGCACATGTAAGTTTACGATATATTTTACGACATTCTTTACGACATATTCTAGAATAATTATTTTTTTCTTTATCGAGCTACATCTCCTCTGATAACTTCCAGCGGCTGTAACAACAATTTATTAATGGTAATTGTAGCTTTTAATTCTTTTTTTGCTGACATCAAATGAAAAATTCGTATATATTGTCAACAACATTTACTGAAACTTTTTCAGGCATATTTCGGAAGAAAGTTCTAGACCGCCAACCATTACCCAATGGCTGCATGGAAACGGTTGTTTTTGCACTAGACTGTGACCAGGAATTCTACTTAACAACTTCTAAAAATAGAGATTTGGAACTGAATGTAAGTAACCAGACATCATTCAATAAAACACTTTAATAGTCTAATTAACCCTAAAAATGAGGTTAAAAGAGCAGTATATGTCCCCATTCCACCATTAAACCATTGTATTGTACACAAACCTTACCAATCATCTATTCAAATGATTGCAGACGACATCAGCAGACGGCAGTAAAACCGCTAATCAATTCACTCTTGTTCGTCTTAATTTACCTGACAGCAAAGTTCCAATCAAGTTCAACCCAAATCAGTTCTTTGAAGGGTAATTGTCGGCATAGAATCAGATTTTCATAGACTTCAGGTGAAATTCACCTGGTTGAGAGGATTTCAAGCGGTTTTAAATTACAAAATGGAACTTAGAACTAAGCACAGATCAATAATTGTATCGTCATAATATCTGCTTACTGAAGAAGGGAAAAATGAAACAACAAAGTATTAACTTTCCTGAGAAATTCAAGGTCGTTTTGGTTTCTGAAAGATGAAATTGTGCAATAAAATGTTAACAAATCTTATGAAACAGAAAATGCGAAATATCAAATTAAAAAAAAAATTAATTCTTTGTTTTTTATTTCTTTTTAGATTTATCAATGTTCTGCATTTCATATTTTCAGTTTTCTTCTGTTGACCCATGCCTAGATAGTCCAGATGAAAGAACGTTCTTGGTATACTTCACGGGTATTGGCCATTGCTTCATCCAGCCGAAACTCCACAAAAACATGTATCTTCACCACATCGATCAGGCATTGAGCATTCAGCCATTAGACTTAAATTGGAGGTGCCCGGAAGAATACTTTTTTAACTTCAGCGCTGTTCCCGAGCCGTATGTCAAACCTAAAAAGGACCCGAAAGTGTGTACGCATATACAGGAAATTCAAAAAGAAATCGCAAGCACAAATAAAGGAACAACGAAGGAAACCTCGACGCAAGAACTCGTGAAAACAATTACCGCGGAGGTTCTAAGACATAACATTCGGTCTGAAATTCCGGATTTTCTTCCATCCAAAAAATCCCGAAATGGACGGCGTTTATTGGCAGGATTATTATTTGGGTGCTTCAGTGCAAAGAGCAATAAATTGACTACAACTGAAGTTTGATGCTAAATAGACAGAGTAGTTCAAATCTAATAGTGCTAAATATCCGTCCATGATTTCATTTTTGTTCATGATTTATCATAAGGTGCTTATTATTTTCTTATACATTTTTGGTCAAACGAAATCCAAGATATAGTGTTAACGAGTTATTAAAGACTTTGTTAAACATGTGCTAGTATCTTAGTGCCTCAAATATAGTAACAATTCAAATCCAATGTCTCACTAGGGGTTGGGTGGCGGGGGGGGGGGACCTCATATGGGGGTTTTAAGGAGAAAGTGTTTTCTCGGGTGTTTAAGTGAAATGTTGATTATGTTATATTTAATGTTATTTATTTACAATCAAGAGGATAATGTTATATTTGTATTTATCAAAATCGCGACATCTTTGCTTCTGTTTGTGAAGGTCCTGTTTGTTATTGTACTCAACTGTTTATTTGACCTTGACACTATCGGTGTTAGGGGCGTTGTTATTTTTTGTCATAGTATTTTTTTTTTGGTGTTTATATGTCGTACTCGACCACAGCACGTTTTGTGTTAACGTATAGATTATTACAATGTTTGTTAGAAATCTTTGTCACGAGAAAGGGGACTGTTTTGTCACATTGAAAAAAAATATATATACATGAACTGAATCATTTGGTCTTACATTGGCACCAATTGAAATCTTGCTTTTTCTCAGCCTTCATTTTGGACACTAGAACTTCAGCTTTTTTCTCTTTTTTTCAAGATTTTATTTAAAAAAGGGGGACAAACAGTACTCTTTTTCGTGACCTTTTGTATAATCTTTTTCTTATTTGTATCCATTTTGACGAGAGTGTTTCTTATGGGCTCCATGTATATTGTCTTAAGAGTTTCTGTTAGTTAAAATATTTACGTTTGTACAAGTCAACGTCCGCGTTTTTTGTGGGAATCAGATAAATATAGGAATAGGTTTTAGTAACTGTTATATTTATAGTATGTACAGTATATGTATTATTTATTTGTTGGTTGCAATTGTCAACTGTAAAACGTCCGCGTTTTTGTGGTAAACCATTATGTACATATTTAGGAAAATAGTTAAGTTTTCTTGATGTATGATTTAAGCCATATATCTTCCAGGATAGGTTGATAAATAAAACTGTTTATATATAGGAGAGAGGTGGCGATTGAACGGCATTTCAAAGGCCTACTCTCCTTTCATTTATGTGGTTATGTCACGTCAGATGAATTATTGAGAACAAAAGATAAACCGTATAAGACACGTGAATGTGTAAAACATATATATTTATATCATAAACAAAATGATTAGTTTGCTGTCTTTTATAAAGTCACATTTTCTGAATACCTTATTCTTCGCGTGACTTTTAATTTCCTCGCGTGCGCAACTTCAATCTCATTAGATAATATCTAATCAAGCGTTCCGGGAATCAGGGTGACGGAAACGCTTGTCAGTGTTTCATTTACCAGACGACATTTTAGAGAGATTCATGACATGAAGTTTGGTCATTTGATTGGTCAAACATGCAATATAACGAGTGTTCTAATTATGGTAACACTGTATTATGTGTTCTAAAATTGCTAAACAGAAAATTTCGGAAAGTATGTATTATTTTAATGCATAGAAGTGGTGGCGGTCTAATATTCTAAAACAAGACATTTCCTTACGGGAATAAAAGCCGTTTGTTTGTAGGAATTAACCGTAAGATTTAATATCTAATCATAACAAAATACATGTTGGCAATGTATAATGTACTTGGTAGGGACTAATATTTTCCCATAGAACCATTTACTACAAGATTTTATTGTTAAGAGTTTTTGCTTTAATAGAGGAAATGATTTCGTAGCTACTTAAGAAAATTTTGATAATTTCGCACGAATTTCGTGAATAGTAGGTTGTGTGTATGCATACATGGTGAATTATCTTTTGTTTTAGATTTTAAGTTATTGTGCTCGTGCGGTATGAGAATTTAATATAGTTTCGTTTAGACATTGTCAAAATCAGTGGCACTTGAAAACGCACGAGAGAACGAAATTTCGTTGATATAGTTCTAGCTTTCAAAGGAGTAAAATTTCGCATCTAAACAAGATACTGTGATATATTTATGCAAAAAATGCATTTTTGATATTTTGTGCAATATAAGACTTCATATATCTGTTATCATTCCATGTTCATCGTTACCATAGCAACGATATCTGTTGTATATGATCACAAATTATCGATCTTTTCCTCAAGCAATTTATTTAAAGATATATTGAATAGCATTATTTCATTAGCGTACACATTTTTCAGATTAAAAACGCTTGGGGATTTTTCTTCTTCTCTTTTTTCTAGAACATTTTTGTTAATTATATCATTTTAAGCTAGACAGATTTTCTGTTGAGGTGTTATATTTCAGAGCTCAGCTGTATTGTCCACATTCTTGATTCGTGATGAAATAAAATGCCATCAGAACAGCTGATGTACTATTATTGCATTTGACATTTTATAAGAACAACCCTGAATTTTTGCTGACAAAAATTATACTATAGTAGTATGTTCAAATATACAGTATGTTGTGATCAACATCATCATCATCATCATCATCATCACCTTTTTCATCATCAATTTCTTCTCATTCATCGCCATCATCATCAGCAGCATCATCAACAACAACTTTTCTTCATCATCATCGTCATCATCATCATCAGCATCATCATTTATTTTAATTTTTTTTACATTCCAAAACAAATTTACATTAAGGAAGATCTGAAAATTTGGCAACCAAACTCAAATAAAGAAGGAAAAAAACAAGAAAAAAATCTAAAAATGTTTTCTTTTTATAACAGCCCTTGATTTGTTTATATCTGAATGAAATAATAAAGTCTTACTAAAAGTATGGTTTAGGTTTGATATTTTATATTATTTTCTATAAAGAATTATTTTTCTAGTCAGAAAAAAAAGATGTTTAAGCATTTAATATTGTAACGATGTTGATGTTATGAAATGATTTTAATGCAGTATTGTTGTTGATGTTGTTGTTGTTATGGAAAAAAATAAAACAAGAAAATAAGAATACATTTTGTTATGTTGTGTTTGTTTCACTTGGCTTTAAAGTCACATGTCATGTGGCAACATTACAGCATTTCTGATAGAGGAAGAACGGTCACTCGAATAGAACCACTGAGCTCCTTTAAACTTTACCATGAGGAAATTAAGCGTCTTAGGCTTTCCATAGTTTCATCGTCGAATAGAAGCAAAGGATATTCAAGTGAGAACGCGGCTCCATATCAACAGCAACACTCGACCCTCATTCTTCATCTGTAATGGAGCAGTATCCCCAGATATACCATTAAGGTTCGAGTCTCAAAGAATTGCGCAATAAACGTTTTGATATTTTGACTTCTCCATGGAAGGAGTATTTAAATCGATTAAATAAAACCAATAAATGTATTCAAATCTAATCAATTAATTTTCTTGTACACGGAAATAAGGCTGTACAAGGCTGATCTGTCCTTAAGTTATCCATAAATTGTATCATGCCCAAAGCTCGACCAAGAAGCAGTTCGGCTTCACAAACTACAGTGCACAGTGGCATCAACAAAGAAGTCATTCCTTTACTTTTTATTTCAATTAACGACAGGAAAATGATTTGTTGAAAGATATGACAAGGCCAATAAATGATTTCAAAATTGCACAAATGCCTTTTAATCATAAATATGTGTATTCAAATACTGATTTATCCTAGTACAAAAAGGACAGTACTTAACATTTTACGCCGTTGATAACTCCGGAGTTTTTTTATATACTGTTATTACTTTCACTAACCATTGCGTATCTCTTATTGTCACACACGTTTAATATAAAACAAGAGGGCCATGATGGCCCTAATATCGCTCCCCTGATTATAAATGCCCTTAATGACCAGAAACATGTAATATTGTTAAATATAAATGAAAAGCAGATATAAAATCTAAATCTTAAACTGATATCACAAAGTTCATATTTGTATCTGAAATTGTCCACGTGTAAAAACAAAACTGGTTGCTACTGCTAAGGGGAATCAATAGTTACTAAAGAAATTACTGGTTGCTATACAAAATCAATGGATTCACTCCTTGTTATGGAAAGTTAATATTTTCTATGGAAGTCACTGGTTGATATGTACAATATCAATGGTTGCTATGGGAGTCACTGGTTGCTATGGGAAATCATTGGTTGCTATGGAAATCAATGGTTGCTATAGAAAGTCACCGGTTGCTATGGACATATGATTGCTATTGAAAGTCAATAAAGTCAATGGTTGCTATGGGAGCTAATGGTGGCTATGGATAGTCACTGGTTGCTATGAGAAGCCACTGGTTGGTAGAGGTCTACTGGACGTTTAATGCCAAAAACCTAGGCAGTAGAAGAATTTTTAATTTTTGAAGACTTTACTATATACATATAAGGGAAATCTATGTTCCCCCTGGGCGGGGCCAATTTTGACCCAAGGGCTATAAATTAGAAGATTGGTGTCAGGGTAGAGCACCGAACTCTTAGTGCAGCGGTCGGTACGAATCATATTGGAGGTGAGCACTGGTATAATAACTGGTTAAGACACCAAGGAAACTGGCACCTGGCTCGACTTGTATATTTATATGTATAGGGCTCTAAAATAAGACAATAGATTTATGCTAATTTTCAGAATATTTTGAAAATGTATGTAAAAGTAAATTAAAGTGATGTGAACAAAGAAAATAATAAACAAAATGCAAACAGCACTTGCAATCTATGAGCATCACCTAGGTAGAGGTCAAAATATGTTAGTCACGCAGAAGACATATGGTGATAAATACTGTAAAATCAGTTATTAAATTGGATCTTGATTTTTGTCCAATTTACATAAAATTAGTACATTATTCTTAAGTTTGACTTTCTTGAAATATTTATGCTCATTTTCATGCATGTAGCTTTAAATCACATTAAAGTCTGAAACAAATATTTATAAATACAACTAGTGTATCAAACTTCAGCTTGTGAAGACAAGCTCTCTGTCAACAAAGACCACCATATATACTGCTGCGCGGACTGGTCGTTACAACCACGTACAGTGATGACTAAAATGTTGAGTTCTTTAATAATTCTGTGGTGCGTTAATGGTTACTGATGACTGAATTACCAGTAACAGTTACTGTTGGCATAGTTACCATACAAAAATCATACAAACTGGTTCCTCTAATATTTACGATTGTAACCGATGATTGAGTTACCAGTAACTGTTGATACAGAAACCATACCAGAACCATACGGACACATTCTTCTAATGTTTACGATGGAAACCGATAATTAATTTACCAGAAACATTTGACAGAGTTACCATACATTTGAACTAAAATCATACGCACTGATTCCACAGATATTTACGATGGTAACCGATTATTGAGTTACCAGTAACTGTTGACAGAGTTACCATACTAAAATTATACAGACTGATTCCTCTAATATTTACGATGGTACCCGATGATTGAGTTACCAGTAACTGAGCGGAAGAAGAAAGAAAAGAAACGTTGTATCTTCATCATGCGTTGGTAACCAATCAAAAAACATTCAAAATTAGCACTATTCAGTGAATAAACTATCCCCCAACTTTGGATGAGTTTTTCCAGTACCGCCGCACCTATATCACAATATTTTCCCGAAGTCAGTGACATTTAATTCTTCGGGGAGTTCTACACCATCGAGAGCGGAGTGGCGAATAATAACAACAGTATTCAACCATCCTATACCGATCCTTCCGATAGAATGTGTTGATAAACAGCAAGACACCGTATTGCTAAAGAAAGAACTTTAAGAGTAAGGGTTTTTGCACTTTATGTAAAGGAACATCTAATAATTTAATATAAGAATTTACATTGGTATTCACACAAAAAATGGTTATTTTTTCAGAATGTGTGCCAAAGTCAAGTGGATTCGCAAACCTAGACTTGAAAGCAATGTGTCGACCCTATGGTTTTTACCCTTTAACATAAATTTCCCCATTAAATGTTCGTTTATGTAACCTCAAAATAAGTACTTTTTTTATTTGTGTTTCATGTTTTAAAATGCTCATTACATATCAAACTGGAAAAAAAACCTTGCCTTTTAAATCTATTGTAACATTATACAATTTTTGATGATAGTCGTTCGAACAAACCCGGAGAAATACCCATGTAATAAAGAGTAGTATGTAGTAACGAAAGTAAAATTTCACCTAGTGTTAGACTTTTTTTATTATTATTTATGTAGCATTGAATACGTGCATTTCATAACGTTGATCGGTCAAAAACAAGTAAATATCAATATATTTCATTGTCCAGTCAGCAATGTCTGCGGACAATCCTTCTTAACCGATATTTTCTGCATAATCGATAAAGATCAAAATGAGGACTCTTACTCCTATCCACTTTTTAGCGCATTGATTTCTACCTGTTTACGACCAAAACTTTTATCTTATTTGTCAATAATGGTTATGAAATGGTTACAAATGAAAGTATTGAGCAATTTTAGGTAGTATGATGAATGGAATTATGAGGTGAACATTTTCTGATTACAGTACGAAACAAAAATCCTTTTCGTCTAAAACGAATGTTTTTGTTAGATTCTGAAACACAACGAAGGTGATATTGGGACTTTAAAGATCGCATTTTGAAGGACGATTCTCATATGCCTCTTCGTGCATTACCTATCGGACCAACGTCCTTTCTGTAAGCTAATTCTTACACGTAAGATGATTCTAACGTCCTATAAGAGATTCAAACTCAAAGCGGCTTGGGATTACGGTATTAACCGTTCTAACAGGCCCCTGAAAACTGTAAAAGTAGTACTAGAAAGCTGTGTCAATTTCGTCTGAACGAGCGTGAGGGATGTTGCATTTTTTTACAGACACAATCAAACCGAGTCTGCAATTTTCATGTAATTTTGTTGTGATAAATGCTTCCGAGGGATAATCCTTATCCAGACGTTTCCAGATGAAAAGTTCAGAAAAAAAAGAAGAAGTCAATAGATGTCTTCATAGTCCATATAAAATAAGTTTTGTATATACATTTGTAATAAGTATATAAAATATGAAATATATATAAAGTGCATTTTCAGCCATTTCACTTTTTGTTGTCATATCTCTACCGCGTTACTAACGGAATTAAGGCTATCTTTGCCAAATTGTAATTTATGTGCAATTTAAGTGCCCCAAGCTTACGTAACAAACACCTTATTTAATCACTTGACAAAAGCTTTACTATTCAGAAGCAATCCAAATATGCATAAAAATTAGCATGAATTTGGAGGCGTCCGTTGTTCGATGACTTCATTCTTGAGCCTAGGTCAGCCGTTATTGCCAAAAGAGCCAAAAACAAAGAAAAGTAAAATAAATATATATATGTCAAATTAAATTTCTATTTGAAAAATGATATACCATACGTGATACATCAGTAGTTTATCACGAAAACATTAGTTGCTTTGTTATTAACAAAATGTGGCATTGCCCCACCTACTCATATATGCATCTCATAGCCAGCCGTTATTGTATTTACGTGAGGTTTAAATCGCAAGCTTAAGTTAGTGTAATCGATTTTAACGTATTTATTATACTCACTTCTTACAATTAGGTCGCATTGCCAACGTGTTTATAAGGTTTGGGTGAAATCAATATCTTGTCCAAGTCGAGTCTCGAACCCAAATTTTTACGATATTTTTCATAATTTTTGATCAAGATGATGAAAAGATTCATCCTATCGCTTTTTCCAGTTTTTCCGGAAAATTTATTTTTTTTAAGGGTTTTAAGGGTTACACTGAAGTTTTTTTGGAGTATGATGGAAATGGAATTAAGAGTAACTTCTGATTCAGTCGCTCCCTTTTCGTCAAAGAATATTTTTGTGAAAACACACGAAAATTGGGAAAACCTTTTGAACGCGTTCCACTCTTCGGCATTATATAGCACCAACGTTTTCTGTACTTCTTTTCTTATATTTCCCTTAAAATACGCTTTTGGTATTCTTTCATTTTTTACCTCAACTTTTATTTTTGTAAAGAAATCGAATTTAATTTATTTCCTGGAATAA